ATTAATATTAAACACTTCATCATTTGAATTTTGACTGATTGGTTCTAGAGATAGCAAACATATACATGTAGGCATACAAAATTATCTTTTTAGTCCATTTTTTTATTTTTTTATCTTTTTTGGATCATATCAATCAATATATTCTCTCTACTTTTCTACATATCTTTTTATAAAAAGTCAAAAAATATACTTATTTAAAACATCTCAAACCACCCCTAAAAAAACTAGTACCGAAGGAATATTAACAATGTGAATAATGGGTTAGCTCAATTTTATTTATTTTTTTCTTTTTTAAGGGTTGAAAAATTATGAATTTAATAAGCAACTCGAGTTTAGCTCAAGCTTTTGAATTCAGGCTTGGGCTTAGTTTGCATTGGCAACTTAAGTTTTGAGGCTCAGATTGAGTGGGCTTGGTTAGCTTTTAATGTAGCTTGGGCTGAGCTTGGGAAACATCCAATGGAAAAGACTCTGCTTGACAAATTTTTTTTTTTTTTGGTTGATTTTTTTTTTAATGGATTTTTTTTAAAAAAAAGTTAAAATATTCACTTTTAGGTGTTAGTAGACTAGATGAACCAGAAAATTAAAAAATTGACAAAATTGACAAATAAACTATTTTTTTTTTAATTTTAATTTTTTTAATTTTATATCCTTCTAAACTAGACTGATTAAAAAAATAATTAAAAAAATTACAAAAATGTAAAATTGTGTCTTTCATTAAAAAAGTCTAAAAAATTGCCAAGTGTCATTTTCAACATGTTAAAATCGTTCCAGGTGTCCTTACAAATACCAAATAACTAATTACAAAAATGATAGAGAAATCAAAATTTTTATCAAATATTCATATAGGTATGGGTCCCACGGCTCGGGCGGTTGTGAGTAAAATTATAAACTAACCCGTGAATAGTGGATTGACAAATAACCAAACTGTGATTTGAGACGGCTTCAATTTGCTAGTTGATTGAAAAATAATCTTAAATAATTATAAAATAGTCTAAAAAATTGCCAAGTGTCATTTTCAACATGTTAAAATCGTTCCAGGTGTCCTTACAAATACCAAATAACTAACTACAAAAATGATAGAGAAATCAAAATTTTTATCAAATATTCATATAGGTATGGGTCCCACGGCTCGGGCGGTTGTGAGTAAAATTATAAACTAACCCGTGAATAGTGGATTGACAAATAACCAAACTGTGATTTGAGACGGTTTCAATTTGCTAGTTGATTGAAAAATATTCTTAAATAATTATAAAACATTTGCATAATATATAATACTAATTTACATAATATTTTTTATATATGTAATTACTAATTCACAACAAATTTCACATCTTAAATTTTCCTCACACTTATTTTTATTATCATATTTTATTAGAAGTTAAAAAATATATATGCATTTGTTAGAATAATGTATAGAGAAAGAGAAAGAGAATAAATTGTGTATTGATAGATGTTATTGATTTTATCCATGATTAGTAAATCAGTATAGATTAATATGATTTTAACATATTGAACGATATTTTATATAATCCTGCGTGTGAATATTCGGTAGAAAATTTGTTAAAAAATTTCACTGCATCTTAACTTTTCTTTTTGTTCCCACGCTTCCTCTTTCTTTGTCTCTTTTTATTCCTCAACAAATATACATTTACATTTTTAAACTATTCATTAAAAAATCTCTCATTCTCTATAGTTTTTTTGGTTCATTAACCTGCCCATAGTGTAGTGTTTAATTGAGGCAATAAAGCATATGTATTTTGCAGTTTTATGCGTAATGCAATAGAACTTCTTAAGTTGATATGAATTTGTCCTTAATAAAACTAGAAATTAATAAAAACTTGAAGATGACATGTCTTTTTTGGTTGAGTTATAAAGTTATATGTGTTCAAATGTAATTATGTGTTAAAATATTGAGTTTTAATTTTTGTATACTAAAACTGGGGATTTTCATGTGATTATAGCATACCAACTCTCATAATTTTATGTACAACTAATGTTGAAATGTTAGGGTCACGCTAATATGGTAAAATTTTAGTAATAACTCAAAAATGAATCATATTAAGTTATGACCCTAAGCATATATAATTTATATTTTAAAGCATTTTTTTTGGTGTTAAAAAGGTCTTTCTGAAAACGAGGGAGTAAATTTGTATCAACATTTCATTTGAAAAATTTAATTTAAAACACTTTCATTTTATAATGTTTCCTTTATATTATTAAAAATTTTACAAATACAAAACCTAAGCATGAATTTTTTTATTATTGATTTTTCAGTCCTTATCAATATGTATTTTTCTATGCTTTTCAAAAGTTGCTAACTCTAGATACATATATAAATTTCAAACTGTTTTATAAGATTTAAATTAGTCTCTAATGATATTAAATTTTGTACGATCCTGTTTGATATAATGAACCTGCAAGACAAGATGCGAGTCTTGAGTGGGCATTGATATGGTGCAGATAAAAAACCCTCTAATACTTAAGTTAGCAGGATAAAGTTGGAGGAAATGAAAGAGAGGTATAAGGTTTATAAGGTTTTGTATACTTATTTACCTTTGTGTCTCAAATTCTCAATCTTAAATCAATTGTGATAGAGACTCTCATATATACATGATCCCTACAATCCCTATTCTCATCCCAACTGCTCATAATGTGGGGTCCACACATACATGAGTGGACCCAACACATACATCAAGGGCTAAGATCAAATTGGAGGTCATTGGACCCTCAAAAAAGGGGTCCCAAACATTTCTGTAATTATATATACATTAGTCTCTCTATTAAACATTACACTTATAACAATATTACAAATCTATTCTTATCAACTTAGAATTTATTCAGAAAACAAATAATGGCTTAGATTCATTTTATATGTGGATTTCACATTTCAGCAATTCAATCTTTCACTACACAAATACTACACAAATACATTTAGGGTAAATTTAGGATTAGTAAAGATGGTTCCTAGTATTTTTCTTACACTTATTGCACACATGAAATAATATTAGATTTATATTAAAATGAGTTTAACATAAAAAAAAATAAAAAAATCTAACACAATCACTTTAGTTAAGTCAAAAAAAAATTATTTACAAGATATAATATTATGATTATTTAAAAAAAAATGAAGTTATACACCTACTGATTTAATATTTCAAATTCGATTTATAGTTGACGTCTAATTTTAAATTCATTTGTATAAAATGTTTTTATCTATTCATAATTTCTTGAACTATTTGTTTTAGATTTTGTACAATTTCTCATCAAAATTTTATAATTTTTATTCTTTTACATTTTTTATAATCTGTTCCCCCCCCCCTTTCGGGATACCATACTTATATGATTTCCCAATTATTAATATTGTATTATTTTTCACATTCACATAAAAATCAAATTTCAAACAAAAAAATTAAAAAAAAAAGATTCCTTTCGGGATACCATACTTATATGATTTCCCAATTATTAATATTGTATTATTTTTCACATTCACATAAAAATCAAATTTCAAACAAAAAAATTTTAAAAAAAAGATTTAAAGATCTTATTTTAAGGATCTTATTTAGGGATCAACAATTATCATCTAAAAATAAATAAAATTTAGGATCATCTTATCTTCAGTTCACAAAGTGAATTAGGCCATGTTGTTATGCTCCGTTTGGCAAGGGCTTTTGTGACTATTTTAGTCACAAAAGACAAAATAGGATATTTTGGCCACAATAAACAAAACGTCACATCCAACTCATAATCATTACACTATTCTCTCACAAAAAAAAGTTAAAAAAAGTCAAAAAGCCAAAAAGTCCTTTCCAAACCAAGCTTTTTAGCCCAAGTTAAAATAGCCAAAAGCCAACCCAATTCCCAAACGGAGGCTTAATGATCTAAACTGTTTATTTTTTAAATCACAATATATAGATTTTGTCAATCAAAAAATGAATGGTCTAATTTTTAAATAATATTTGTTGTTCTTTTTTTTACAAATAAATATCTTAAAATAGTATAATTATAGTTATCAAATCAATTAAATTTTTTTTATAAATAATTTACATATTGTGTCTTAAAAAATAAACAAAACAACACAACCGAATTCACTTTGTAAACCGAGACAATCTACTTTAAATATCACCAAACAAAGGAAAATGCTAAAAATTTTAAAAATTCTACCAAATATTTTATCAAATGTCTCACACGGATGTGAATCCCACACTTATATAGGATCTATATCATGTAAAACCTTTAATAAAACATTTGGTAAAATTTTTAATATCCCTATTATTTCTCTCAAACAATACCTAAACAAACACTCGCCCACTCTCACACCTCTGTTCCTCGTCCCCCCCCACCACACACACGAGTCCGGATTCTCGGCCGCCCTTTCCGGCGGCCGTTCCATCAGCCCCCAAAACGACGTCGTTTTGGGGGTTTTTTGATTTTTTTTTTTTTTTCTTTCTTCTTCTTCGTTTTTTTGACAGAACCAGAGGGAGGGGAGGGGAAGGAGAGAGAGGAAGGGAGAAGAAGAGGGAGCACCGGACTGGAGGGGGCCTAAATCACCGGGGGAGGAGGAGGAGGAGGCGGAGGCGGGCCGGACGCGGAGGCGACGGCAGATCGGGCGACGATCGGACGGCTGGCGAGCTCGACGACCTGCGACGGCGAATCCGGACCCCTCCCCTCCGGCGAGCTCCCCTCCCCTCCCCTCCCCTCCCCTCCGGCGAGCTCCCCTCCCCTCCCCTCTGCTGCTCTGGTTCTGCGAAAAAAAAAAAAAAAAAAAAAAAAAACCCCCCAAACTGTTAAGGCAATTAGTAGCACTTAACAAATAAATCTTACTGTTCTCTCAAAAGCACTAAAAAGTCCTATTAACTGTGTTATAATCAATAATTACAATATTAAAAAAAAAATTAAATCCTAAAGTGATTGAATTTTCAAAAGTACCTCTTTACTTCCCTTTTCCTCTTATATATATATATATATATATATGTATGTATCCTATTATCCATCATTGAAACCATTTGTTTCTCTCGCAGTCTCTACTTAGAGAGCACTATACCTTCCTCTGAAAATGGCGAAACTCTCTGAAACTTCATCTAAACTTGTCATCTTCTTCACCATTTGCAGCCTCTTCGTCAGTCAATCCACGGCGGCTTACTCCATCGGCGTCAACTACGGCACGGTGGCCGACAACCTCCCGCCACCGTCCCAAGTCGCCTCCTTCATCAAAGACCAAACCACCATCGACAGAGTCAAGATCTTCGACGCCAACCCCGACATCCTCCGCGGCTTCGCCAACTCCGACATCTACGTCACCGTCACCGTCGCCAACTCCGACATCCCCGCCGTCTCCAAACTCTCCGCCGCCGTGTCCTGGGTGGCTAACAACATCCTCCCCTTCTACCCCACCACCAAAATCCACCGCATCGCCGTCGGGAACGAAGTCATCGCCACCGCCGACAAAACCCTCATCGCCCACCTCCTCCCCGCCATGAAATCTCTCCACGCCGCCCTCAATCTCGCCGGAATATCCAGCATTCAGGTCTCCACACCTCATTCACTAGGTATATTATCAAGCTCGGAGCCACCCAGTTCGGGTCGGTTCAGACGGGTTTACGACCGGGTCATATTCGCCCCAATCCTTGAATTCCATCGCCAAACAAACACGCCCTTCATGGTCTGCCCATACCCGTTTTTCGGGTTCACACCGAATACTCTGGACTACGCTCTGTTCAAGCCAAACGGCGGCGTTTTTGACCACGCTACAGGGATGAACTACACGAACATGTTTGATGCACAGTTGGATGCGATTTACTCGGCGATGAAAAGGCTGGGGTACGATGACGTGGACATCGTGGTGGCGGAGACCGGGTGGCCGTCGGCCGGTGACCCGGACCAGACGGGTGTGAATATGGATAATGCGGTGTCGTATAATGGGAACCTCATCAGGCACGTGTGCTCAGGCGAAGGCACGCCGTTGATGCCTAACAGGACGTTTGAGACGTACGTTTTCTCGCTGTTCAATGAGGATCTCAAGCCCTCGACTTCGGAGCGGAACTTCGGGTTGTTCCGGCCCGATTTGTCACCGGTTTACGACGTGGGCATTCTGCGTAATGGACAGGTATATCCTTAGCTGCTGTGTAGCTGTGCTCTGCGTGTGTGTATGGAATGGCAACATACTTTAGGAAATGTCATTAAACTCTATTCTTAGACAAACGGCCCTCTGTTTTGTTGAATGACCAAAGCACCCTCCTTTATACTGTATCTAGGGACATTTTATGGTCATTTTTCTTTAACGGTAATTACAATTTTGTATTGTTATAGTTTAATTTAAATTTTATTTTGATTTTTATAGTTTTAAATTGAACGATTAGTTTTTACATTTAAATCTAGTTTCAGTTTAGTTATTCTATTCAAGTTAAAAGTCGCAACTAATGATTTTAGTGCATGCTGGAAAAAATTGATAAAAATTTGGACAACGGATCAAATTAAAATTAGCTTCAAAGACAAGAGACTAAATTGTTTAATTTAAAATTATAAGAATTTGAGTGAAATTTGGATCAAAGGGTTAAAAGATTAACCCATTTTCTTATTTCATTTTTATGTAATTAATATCTTAAAAAAAAACCAATAAATAATCTCTAAAATTTTTAATTTTAATTTATATGGTATAATCTAATACAAAATTTAATGTGTATAAAGGAGTTTTATAATTTAAACAACTAAAATTATACCATCAAACACATACTTCTTCTTCAACTCTCATTGTAAGTTAGTAAATTTAGCTGTATGATTTAAATGGTTTAAATTTTAAAGATAGCTATTGATTTGAGCAACCCTCCTCGAAAGGATGATGTTAGTTAAAATTAAAAATTTTAATAATTAAATTGATAAAATAATATAATGATTTAAGCATGAAAGATAAAAGTGAAATTATTTTTGCAAAAAAGATTGGGAGTTCTATGGAAAAAACTCTAATTTGTGATGGGTCTTATGTAATATGATATTTTAATCTTATTTTATTTTTTATTTTTTGATAATTCACGTCACTAGAATCAAGTTTAAAATCCTAACTTAGAGTTCCAAATCATCACTCTTATTTTTGTTTTAATAATTTTATATGGTTATTTTTGTAGAAGAATGTTTGCACTAAAAAAATAAAAAAAAATCTCCCGTCCTTTCTGGGTTTTCGAGATAAGCAGTAGCAACTCCTTGACGAATCTGCTACGGCAAGTGCTATCGTTTTTCTCATGTTATGACTATCATGACCGTTGAAATGAGAGTCCGAGTGCCCACAAAAACAAACAGTCCAGTATTGGTTTTTTGATTGCATTGTTGATGATGCAGAGCGGTGGTACCACACCTACAATGCCTACGGCGATGGCTCCGTCACCGTCCGATTCAATCAAGAAGTGGTGTATACCGAATGAGGATGCGAGCGACGAAGCATTGCAGGCGAACATAGACTTTGTGTGCAGCAGCTCCGGTGGGGTGGACTGCAGCCCAATAGAAGAGGGTGGGCAATGTTTCGATCCAAACACCGTCCGATCGCATGCATCATTTGCGATGAACGCTTACTATCAGGCTAACGGTGGAAACAATTTCGACTGTGATTTCATCAATACCGGAGTCGTCACCGTGGCCGACCCCAGTAAGTTTGAAGCTACGCTTATTTAAAAAGCTCTTATTCAAAAGCATTATTGTAAAGCTGATGTTAATGCTCATGTCTGCTGTTGCAGGTTATGGGGAATGCAGGTACGCGGCTTGAAAGCAAGCAAGTAGTATAGAGAGGTGTGAAGAGTCGGTGGCGGAGGTTGCTCAATGATCATTTGTTCCTAAGCATAAGCACAAATGTTTTTTCTGTGCTCTCTCTCTCTCTCTCCGAGTCTCAGAGTTTAATTTATGTGTAGAGTTGTGCATCATTATTTTATTTTGTTTTTTACAGCGGGGAATGATCAGCGGAGTTGGGTAATTAGAATGTGTGTTTTTTGTCTTTTGGATTTAAAAGGTGAGTGGTCCATGCATGCATGTGTATAATTTTAAAGATTATATGGCTTCATGCTGTTCGGATCCTTAATTTTGGACAAGATTTCAGCATTGCTACAATTACAAGAATTTATACTTTTAAATACACAAACTAATGGAGAAGAGTCATGTTAGACACCTGTACGGGGAGGAAATAATTCTCCTCGTATAATCCTGTTGACCAAGTCCTATATTTTTACGCTGTGTTTGATTGGGAGATTTGGGGAGGGATTTGGAAAAAAAAAAAAAAAAAGTATGTGAAATTAGGTGAAATATAAATATATTTTACTCACATTTCACTTACCTTTTCAATTTTCCTTTCTAAATCTCTCTTCAAATCCCCCAACCAAACACATCATTAAATACACAAACTAATGGAGAAGAGTCATGTTAGACACCTATGCATTTTATCATAAATTTATTAATAATGATGCGGTAAGAGAATGGGCTCTTAATTAATCATTATGTAATAAATTAAAAATTGACACCTATTATGATATGAGTAATGATAGAGACCCCAAATATTCTACCAGTTTTACCAAATGTCTCACATGGGTGTGGGACCCACACAATGTGGGTCCCATGTAGGTCCCACACCCATGTGAGCCATTTGGTAAAACTTTTGGTAGAATTTTTGGGACCTCTAACATTTTTGTTATGATATATCATTATGGGTCAAATTATAAAAAATTTTGGACTGTTTCAAACATTTTCTAATTGAAAAGTATAAATAGGAAGAAAAAATTTGTTGGCATAAGGTTAACAATACATATCATCTCATCGTTTCAATAAGATAGTCTCACCAAAAGCACGAAATAGACCAATGAAGTGGTATGTATTGTTTGCTTACATAAGGTTAACAACACATATCATCTCATCTGTTCAATAAGGTGGTGTATGAACTAGATCAATGAAGTAGTATGCATGGTTTTCATGTGTATGAACAAATTTATACTCAAAAATAAATGTGTCTATTATTATTTTTTTATTTTTCTCTCTTATTGTTTTCTTTCTGATATTGTGATTTTGACTCCTACCTTGTGCAAATTTTCAAGTATGAGTAATATTACAAACTCAAAAAATTTATTAGAGCTTATTTAAAAACACCCATGTATGGTTCATATTCATTTTGTATGTAGGTCCCACAATACACAACACCGTCAACCTCCACCATATATTTCTTTCTTGCCCCAAATTTGGGACAGACCTACTGTTCAAGTATCTCATATATTGATCAAACTGAAAAATATGCTTTGAAACTGTAAATTTTTTACAATTTTAAAGTATGATTTTAGTAAGCATTTCTCTTATTAATCAAACTGAAAAATATATTATGAAATTATAATTTTTTTTAATAAAAGCATATTATGAAGCTGTAAAAGTTTACAGTTTTAAAGCATGTTATGAAATTACACAAATTTTGTAATTTTAAAATATGATTCATTTCAGCATCTAAAAACCTAAAACTGAAAAATTTTACAGTTTTCACTGCCTTTAACTAAAGCTTGAAAAAAATTTGTTTAGAATTTAAAAATTTTCTATATTAAAACAAGAAAACGTAAGTGCATAGTAGAGGGAAAAAACAAAAAGAAAAAGAAAATTTGAGAGATTGAAGGAGATAGATAGATATAGAGAGAGGATTGTACTTTAGCAATCATTTTTGGTTTAGATATGGCCGAATTTGAGGTAGATCTACTTCAAATCTGAACATTCTGGTGAGTTTTATTTTATGATATTGGTCGGATCTTAGTAGATCTATGTCAATAGTATCGTCGGAAATTCATCTCTTTTATCGTCGGTGAGAGCGAAAAAAGGAGTCGGTGGTTTCCAATTGTTACGATTCAAACCTGCACCTATAGGTTTAGCGTCATAACTGACCAGTAATCCTTAGATTACCAAAGGCCTCTTAATAAAAAGACGTATTATAAGGGGCTACAGAAGCAAATATAGAAATATACATTGTCCATAAAGCTGTGTTAACGTTTGTGAAACAGAAGCCTTTAAAACAAACTTATATATATATATGTGTGTGTGTGCGTGTGTGTGACGTCATAAATACATTAGTCTTACGTCACCAAAGCCACATATACAGAACTTTCCAAAACATATTCAAACAAGGCATAAACATCAGAAGGTACAAAAAAATTCCCAAGACTCAAATACTTGATCAGATCTCAAAAGGGAACCTCCACCGGAAGCACGATGGCTGGCTGACACCAAAACTCGCTAGATAGCAACTTAGGCATGGTCACGCTCCTGCTCACCTACATACATAATAAATAAATAGTGAGCGAGAGCCCAATGAATAATAACAGAGTAAAGGGTTTTGATGAATGATGATGTCCATAACATAGTCAGGAATCAGAATTTATATCAGAAGCAGATTTACATTTATATTCCTTTTCAAGTCAATAACAGAAATCAGAATACATACTTAATCTCATATCTGTTAGCGCTAACAGATCACATGCGGGGCATCGAAGATCATACTTGTCAGTCCCATAAAGGAACCTCCAGCTGGGTACGGATAACTTGTCAGTTCCATAAAGGAACCTTCAGATCGAGTACGAATAACTTGTTAGTTCCATAAAGGAACCTTCGACTGGGTACAGATAACTTGTCAGTTCCGTAGAGAAACCTTCGAATCGGGAACATATAACTTACTTGAGCCCTGAAAACTTATCAAAATTGGACAATCATTCATAGTACAAACATAACATTTCATAGAACAGATCTTACTCCTTATACAAAATAAGTAAAGTTGAATATAGTTTTACTAAGTTATTACTCACAATTAACAGATGGCTCCAAGGCAACAGACAGAATGGGCAAATTAGACGTCTTGTGGCTCGTGACCTACACAATTACAGAATGAACATATAGTGAATTACACACCTAGAAACATTAACTTAATCATTTCTTCTCTTGGTGTGTTTCTACTTCTTATCCTCATTATTGTGTCTTAATTATGGCCTAGGAATGCCTAGGATGCAATGTGGATGCCAAAATGCACTTTAAAACCTTTAACAAAACTTGCTGAAAACAGGGGTCCTGCTCGAGCGCAACTTTCTTCGCTTGAGCGAACATGCAAAATGTGTAAGGTCGCTCAAGCGCAACTTCTGTCGCTTGAGCGGTCTGTAGACTCTGCAAAAAGTACTGGTTGCTTGATTTTTTCACTCAATCCTCGCTCGACGCTCGCTCGAGCGTGAGACTTATGTCCTTGCTCGAGCGCAACTTTTGTTGCTCGAGCAATCTACAAAACATGTAAACTTTTGGGAGCTTCATTTCATGCTCGAGCTAACTTTTGGTCACTCGAGCGGAAGTGCAAGATTACATAGTGGTCGCTCGAGCGGAGGTTTTGTCGCTCGAGCGGAGATGCAGAATCTGGAATTTCCAGATTGCACTCCAAAGTTCAAAACTTGAATTAAACACTTTGAAACTCATCCTTTTGGGCCATGTAGACACCCCATTTTTGACCGACCTTAAGACTCAGGCGTCACCGATTGAGCGCTCGGTGATGGTGCATATTGTGCTTGTTCAGAAGTTTCAGAGTCTCGGCTGCGAGCCTTGCCTCCGGACTTCCGGACTCTTTTGTACCTTGCCTCGGTTTGCGAACCAGGCTCTATTTTCTCTATTTTCTCTTCCCGAAGGGAGGGAGAGGTCTCGTAGATCATCTCTCAGTGGCCGTAGGCTACGTTTCGTGGTCGTAGGCCATTTTGCCCGTTTGGAGCCCGGTTCCCGATTTTTCAGAGCCGTTGGCCGTGTGCCTCGGTTTGGGACCGCTTAACCATCTCCGTTTGCTCTAGTTTTTGGCATACATCTTGTTTGCTCCCTTTCGAGGGACACTGTGGTTCGAGAAACCAACTTCGTGGTCGAACACCACTCCCGGTGCCCAACAGTCAGTTTTTGGGGCCCCGGACTACGCGTTGCGGCCCCCGAACCTCCATTTTGCATCGGTTTTGGTTCATTTTTGGTAGGGACCTCTGTTTCATTGCTAGGAAGGTCATAGAAGGATGGGAGGCCAGTAATGTCAACCAACTTTATCCCTTCATCGCTCTCCGTCGCCCGATTTTTCTCATTTCAAAGCCAATGTTGACCACCCTTGGGCCATTTTCTTGCACCCTAAACCCCATATTTGTGATGTACACATCTGGGAGGCCACCAATATTTGGTGGCCGGCCAGTAATTGCTTTTGAACCTTTTGAACCCCTTTGAAAAGTGGGTTGTTCTATCTCCTAGCTCACATTCTCTAGTTTTTGACCACAGGGTTGTGCTGTGCACACATGGGAGGCCCTCTTTCTGTGGTGGCCGGCCACTAATCTTGATTGACCCTTTTGACCCTTGGCCGGTCGGCCGTGGGGAAAGCCGGCCGGCCACCTTTAGTCTCAATAACTGGCCGGCCAGAATCCTTGCATCAAGTATAGTGCAGATACACCCTCCTTTTCCCCCCCAGATTCTGTATCCAGGGGGGTGCATTTTTTGAGGGAAACTTGATTCATTTCCCTCCCTTTTTCCTCCATTTTTCCCCCTCTTTTGCCTATATAGCAGGCCCTCCAGCTGCATATTTAGGGTTACAAAAATTTCCCCCAAGCCTCTTGCCTTGTATCTCTCTCTCTCTCTCTCTCTCTCTCTCTCTCTCTCTCTCTCTATATATTTCCAAGCTCCAAACCCTCAAGCCTTACACTCATTTCTTCACCAACCCATAGCCCCACCCTTCCATCCTCCATTCCAGCAGCTTGAGGTTGTTCTTCAGAGCCTAGGAGTGCTGCATCTCAAGCCAAGAGGCTGTCAAAGACTAGTCTTCAAGGGTGAGTCCCTATTCTCATTTTTTGTGCTTTATTTTGTTCAATACATTAGCCATACTTGCTTGCTGTTTTGGGCTCCGACCCTAACTGGAGATAGGCTTATTTTGAGCTATTTTTCATGTTTGTTTAAGGGCCTCTCACTGTTTGAGGCCTCCTTGTTGCACTTGCTTCATTGCCTCCCTTGTATGCCATTTTCTTGTGTAGTATTTTTGGCCTATGTATAAATTGTTTT